GGGCTGGGCCTCGGGCGCGGGGCGGAGTCGCCGCTGCTGGGCTTCCAGGACCCAAGTGTTCGGGTTTCTTTACTATTCAGCCGCTGTCACGGTTTTGTTTCTTCGCTGGAAGTACAACGATGAGCTCTTAGGGCAACGAAGCCCCCCTCAAATGCAGAGTAGTCGGAGGTTTGTGTTCTAAGGACTTGGGAGGCCAGTAAGAAAAAACTATTCCTAAAGCAAACACGGACAGTGGGTTTAAATGTTGCGTTTGAACAAATCAAGTAATTCAGACGAAATGGCTTTGTTAATTGTCGAATAGGTTATTATTGGCATTCAGCAATGAAACAGGAAGTCCCAAATAGATAAATGATATGATGGTTCAGTTAAAAAATTCAGTATAATAATTTGTTACCTGTTTGATAGGTGCAGCAATTCAGTAGAACATTTTCTATGAGTAAGGGGAAGAGTCAGAAAGGATTCTACAAAATGCCTAGGACCTAACGTCATGAAGTACAAGGTAAGGCTTCCACTAAAGCTTTTAAAAATACCGTGCAACTATGAACTAGTCAAGCCTCAAAGAAACAGTTCAACTGGGCGATTTTAGGATGGGTTGATAGACCTGAAAATGTGCCTATCTTGGAGACTTTTGGGTTGTTTTATGCTAGCACTGTTTTACCAAAACGACCAGCGAGTCCTTAATAAGCTGATTTTGCACAACCAGCAGTGAAAATATGTACTCGTAATTGCATTCGTTGAACAGAGAAAAACTAGCAAAAGTCGTAACCCTATCGTGCAGGGTCGAGAGCAGGCTCAGAGCTGGTAGCCAGTTGAAATTCTAGCTCTGCCATTCCCTGCAAATCACTGAACCTCTTTGTGCTTTATTTTCCTCCTCTGTACAAAGTGGAGAATAACACTTCCTGAAGTGGTTGTGAGGATGTGGAGATGCATAATAAGCACTTGTTATTATCCGTGTTAGTATTTAACAAAATAATAGGGCCAGAAATCAAGATTTAAGGAGGACCCCCCCCCATTTTTGTTGCTCATATCCCTGCTGTACTCAAGAGCAGGTAAAATTTACCTAAATTTTTTGCAGTCCAGCTTCTAGGATGCTCCTCTGTCATTTGCTAAACATTGAAATGCGCTCCTTACCAAATTCTGGCTCCTTCTTCCTGCTTCCACCAAGAATACATAATGGTTATAATTATTATTCACAGTGTTTAATAGAGTCATATTATTTACTGTCATTATTTTCCTAGCCTAATTGTCATGCATTCATATGGTGTTTTGTATTTTCCTAATGCCTTGCAACCACTCATTCTATGAGGACGTCTGTTTAAAATAGGCTTCAGTTGTTTGCATTTGCTGCCTATCATTGTACACGTATTTCAAACATAATAAAATCTATTTTATGCTCTAGGTTGATATCAATACTGGGTTAAGAGTTCATCTACCTATTACCTAATTTCCAGACTATACAGGGTGGATTAGAATTGTGACTGAGCAGATATTCCTGTTTCTTATTCTGATCCTAGAATGCTGGCCCCACAGTCCCTGCCAGCCTAACGCACAGGAACAATCCAGCCCACCTCAGCAGACTGTGATTTGAGGAAATACAAGAAAGGCTTCCGTAGGCCTCCAAAGCACATGCCAGTGGGTTTGTTTTTCTGAAACTTCTCCATAAGAATTTCATTTCTTTATTCCTTTAATATAAGTCAATTAAGAAATTTAGTCCCTGTTAAAATAAAAATACCTCAGAGGGAATGAATTTGTTAAATTCTTTTCCAAAATTAAGTAAGTTTAATCAATATCTTAAGAAAACTGAAGCCCAGCTAAAACGGAGTTGAGAAAGGAGAGAAAACAAGAATTAGATGATACCTGCTTCCCAAGTTTGATCGACTCTGATTAAGTATGTGGGTGGGACACACAAATTTAGCAGTATTTGCTTCCCAAACCCCCCTGAAATGAAGTCAAAGGACTTGTTACAGTTTACATCTAAAATGGCCCCCCAAAGACTCATGGACTCATAGGTGGGGCTTTTGTAAGGATTATGGGGGCTTATAGCTAACTTGCTGTTAGGAGATGGGATCCTAGTCTGAAGAGGGGGTCGCTTGGGTGAGTTTCTCCCTCCTTCCCTCTCTCCCTCCCCCCTTTCCCACTTTCCCTCCCTACCACCATGCCCAGAACTCTTGTCTTCTGCCATACTCTTCTACCATGCCACCCTGCCTTAGAGCCAACTATGGACTAAAAGCTCTACAAACTGTGAGCCAGAATAAACCTTTCCTCTTTTAATTGGTAGGTGTTGGGCATTCCTCACAGTGACAAAAAATAACTCAGGAGTTTTCAACATGAAACCCAAAGAGACAAATTGGGAGAGAAGTTAAAGGGCAACAGAATTTCAGGAGTTGGAAACTATCTATAATGGGGTGAACTGGATGTGGCTGAACTAAGAAGGCTGAATCTTAAGGCAACAGTGAAGAAATCTAGCAACCAAAATAATAATGTATGACCGACTGTTCACAGAACCTGTCATGGCTTGGCAATTCTTAGCATTAGGCACTTTTGGGATAGTGGTGAAAGCAGGACTCAAAACAGCAGGATGAACTGAAAGTTTTTTTTTTTTTTTAGCCTGGAAGGGTGTCTGTCACCCTTGTCTTACTCCCAGGGAGGAAAGAAATTCCATACTGGGGTTAGGGGTCGGGAGGAGATAAAGCAAAAGTAAGTACTAGGAATGTGGAGAAACACATCCCGATCTCATTGTCCTCTTGTCTTTCAGAATACACTTGTCACTTTGATCCCTCAGGTGGAAGATAGGAATGTTCTTCTCTGAAGAGTCTTGAGTAGTCTAAGAGACCAACATAAAGATACCGACAAAGAGAACCCCCAGTGATAGGTCCACGGGCATGCCCAGAGCTTCCAGTCAGTTTTTTCATGCAACTTTCCTCGGTAGGATCAGGCATCCTGGGATCATCTAAAGTGAGAAGAAAGCTTGTAACATTAATGACAGAGACCAGAAGAGATGAACAGAATGGCGGGGGGAGGTGTGAGAGGAGAGGAGAAGAGCAGGGGAAGCAGAGGGAGGAAGGGAGACTTGGAAGAAATGTGGTTGCTTGAATTGAACTAACAGGGAGAGATGAGGAATCAAACAAGGAAAAACTATCAATAACATTCTCAAAGTAATAAAGGAAGATACCGTTGACATGGAGCGAGAATGGTATTTACTTCTAAAAAGCTGCATTTAGAGAACAAAAAAAGGAACTCATAGAAATCAAGGATATAATCACAGAAATTAAAAACTAATACAGAAAGGATGGAAAATAAATTTAAGAGTGTTTCCTACAGGATAATGCAAAAAAATGAGGTAGGGAAGAAAGTTTGAGGAAAAATGATTTTAAAAGTTAGATGTGTTATGTACATGTACCAAGGGATGTAAACATTATGTATTGCAAACATTAATAAAAAAAGGGCTTAAGAAATGGATGAGGGGGAACAGGATGAGGAAAAGGAAATAAGATGTATTATATATGTGTTCCAATTCCCAGGAAAGTTAGCACGCACTACAAATATGTACATACTAATAAAAAATGAGAAAAGTTAGAGGACCTGTCCAGTGAGTCCAACATGTGAATAATTGGCAATACTAAAGGGAGGAAGACATTTAACTGATACTCTTTATAAATGCATAGATTTGAAAGACATAAGTCTCCAGATCGAAAGGGTCCATTAAATATAAGGACAATGAATGAAAATAAACTCGCTCTAGTGGACATTGTTGTCACATTTCAGAACTCTGGTTTCAAAGAAAGCCCTATAATACTCAATGAGAAAAAACAAAAAATTCATACGAAGAATCAGGAATCACTGTGGCATTGCACATTCAGCAACAACACAGGCATAGGGGCAGTGTCTTCAAAATTCTGGGGTAAACTGTTCCAGCCCAGAATTCCGTTCTGTCAGTCAAGTGGGAGGATAAGTCACTTCAGATGTGCATGGCGTTGGAAAGTTTTGCTACTGTGTGCTCTTTCTCAGGAAACTACTAGAAGATGTGTTCCACCAAACCTCAAGGAGCAAACCAAGGAGAGTAAAAAGATCTCAACAGCATTGGTAATAGAGCCTGCCACAGAGAAAGGTGAAGAAAATTCCTAGGATGGGGTCAAATAGAGTCTCAGGATTCCAACAAGCCGGGAGAACCATGAACCAGTGTAGATGAAAGGGCTCCAGGAGAGAATTCCTGATTGTAACTGAGAAGTGGTATCTAATATGTGTGAGCAGACTTTTCGGAAGACAAAGGAAATGTCCGATGTTGCATTAGTGAAGAATACAAAGCAAACTAAAAAACAGACAAACAAAAAAACTAGATCATTAACACCAAGAATTATAAAATGTTACACTGCAAGAATAAGTAATAGTAGTGTACAAGGCTTAACTGTACATACCATTTATATAACAATAATGATGTAAGCTGAATACTGATCTACTTAAAACCATAGTAGCTGCCGGGTGTGGTGGTGCACGCCTGCAATCCCAGCACTTGGGAGGCTGAGGCAGAAGGATCGCTGTGAGTTCGAGACCAGCCTGGGCTACATGGCGAGTTCCAGGTCAGCCTCAACCACATGAGACCTTGTCTCGAAAAAAAAAAAAAAACTTGTGTGTGAACAAAGCTACATCCTCATCTGTGATGGAGAAACATTAGACACTGTTCAAGAGAAGTATGACAAGATCACATGCACATGTTATTTAGAGATGGGAAGTGAATAATGAGTTCCCTCAAAGTGTTGAAAAAGGCCCCCTTTATGGAGCAGGAAATTGAGAGTTTGGGAGGAAGGAAAAAAGCTTTCATAACAAACTTTGTAAAAGCTCTTAACTAAATGGAATGCCTTCGTAACCCCAAAGTTTGTTTGGCAAGAGGAAAAACTAGAGACAGGAAAGTTTTGTTTTTTGTCGTTTTTTTTTTTTTTTTTTTTTTGAAAGTTCAGAGAGATTATACCCTGCAGGAGTTACTAACCTGTCCTGTTGGGAAGGAGGTGACAGACTTGAAAAATGAGATACAATCTACCAAGTTTTGCAGGTCATTTAAGGCATGAGTGAGAAGACAAAGCTGCTGTTGGCTTTGAAGAGGTTAGATAAAAATGCCATTCATTGAGAGAGGCCATATAGAGGTATAGCATGATAATAGTAATGTTTCAGTATTTTAGATTTGATGATACATCCCGAGATGGATCACTCATTGGGGTGATAAGTATGGATTGGGAAGTTAGAAGAGAGATCTGAGCAGATGACAAAAATCAAAATCATTTCTTAAAGATAGTAATTTAAACACAAGAATAGGTGCGATAGTTCAATAAATGGTATAGCTGCAGAAAAAAGACAGAATTAGTACAAACTGGAAGACTCCCTTCCCTGAAGGACTGGGAAATGGCAAAGGGAAAATGTAAAGAGTTCAGAGAGAAGTTAAGTCTCCTAGGTTGAAAGACTACAAGAGGAAAGCTGATGGATCGTAGAAGCTTACATAAAAACTGAAAACTCTGGTGCCCAGAGCCACTTTTCCTCCGTCCACTTCCGGTGGCAGTTTAGCTCACCGAAGACCACGCTGTCTGAAAGTCCTGCCCCTTTCCAAAGCCCAGCAGACCGTGCACCCACTGGGGCAACTTAGCCAGTGGGAGGAGATGGCTGGTGGATGAGTTGAATATTCCAATGTCCTGTCCTGGTGGATGATTCTGAGAAGCGATTGTAAGTTCTCTGAATATTAGCTCTGACCTCTTATTCTCCTCTTCCTCCTCTCTTCTCCTCTCCCCTCCTTTCACCACCCACCCCACCCCCACTCCATTTTTTTGAAGTAAGATGAACCCAGGACTTCATGCATGCTAGCAAATGCTTTACTCCTGAGCTATATCCTCAGCCCTCTTTCCCTCTTATTCCCCTCACATCCTCACATCCCATGATCTGAAATAAACTACTTGCAGGCAGGTTTTTGTCTCAGGCTCTCTTTTTGAGAAAGTCCAGGAGGATGGGTGGGGGTGGAAGAAGCCTAGAGGGGAGGCCAAGTGCCACGAAGTTGGTGTAGACTCACTCTAAAGGAAGCAATTCCAGGAAATGAGCAGGGCCCTGCTAAGTCTAGCTGCAGATGTCAGAAAAGTTCCTCATAACAGTGCCGTAAGCGTATTTCTTTCTTTTTGAAGTACAGTAAAAGGAGTTTGCCTGATAGGCAGGGAGGACTTCATGAAAGCACATTCTTGACTTTCTACCCCTGCCCCCAGTGCTGCCATACTGGGAGTTAACGTCAGTCCATGTTGTGCCTGAGTTCTACTTACCAGTTTTAGCAGGGTAGCAGGTAAAATCAAGGGAAACAGATTATTTTGTCTCCTTTAACAAGTACTTCTGCTTACATTTCACTGAGCAGTGCTTATAACCACACCCACTGTTTAGGAGGGTTGGGAAATGAAATGGTTCATTCCGGGCAACCACTAGAAAAATAAAAACACAAAGTACCACTTTCAAGTTCAATACAGAAAATTTTCTCAATGCAGTAGAATGTAGGAAAGAAGAAAAAAGATTCTTAAAAAAGGCATCAAATTAAAAAAACGTCTTTCTATTATAACTGTAAATTGAACTTTCCTATTAAAAGGCAGAGATGCATGGATAGGCTTTTAAGAATAACACTGTTTTCTAAAAGAGGCACATTTAAATGTAAAGAAACAGGTGAAAATAAAGAATAGAAAAAGATTACCAGAGAAATATAAATCAAAGAAATACCAGCATAACAGATGTATTAGACAAAATAGAATTAAAAATGCAAAATATAAGATACAAAAGATACAAAATACTAGTAAATAAATGCTGGTAAAATATATTTAAAAAAACATAGCATTAGTTGGGTGTAGCGACACATACCTGTTATCCCAGCACTCAGCAGGCTGAGGCAGGAGGATTACTGCAAAGTTTGAAACTAGCCTGGGCTACATAGTGAGTTTCAGGCCACTCTGAACTACATAGAGAGACCCTGTCTCAAAACAAAAACAATCCCCCAAAACCATAATGTTTAGGCTCATAAATATTGGTAGACACAAAATATGTAAAGCAGATCTACAGGGAAAAAGAAATCAACTATTGTACTTGAAGATTTTAATTCATTCCTCATTTAATCAAGCTCATAAAATATGCAGAGGTGTAGGATATTTGAATAACGTGAGTAATAAGTGTGAAATAAATGTTATGGAGAAATTTCTACTCATCAAAGTAAAGTTATCAATCATATATGGAATATTAATTTCTTAACCAAATTAATTAAGCAATGCACACTTATACACGCACAGCGATTATATCCTAGTGAGAAAGAAATGTACAAATACACAAAAACATTTCATGTAGTAGTACATACTGGGAAGAAGGTAGAGGAGGAGAAATAGAAGCGGGGAGGCATTAAGTTAGGTGGTCAGGGCTGGAGATACAGCTCAGTGGTAGAATGCTTGCCTAGCTTGTTAGAAGTCCTCAGTTAAATCTCCAGCACGATAGATAGACAGACAGACAGACAGATAGACAGACACAGAATCAGTTGGCTCAAAGAAGAAGTCATATGAATAAATGAGGAAAATAGCTATGTGAATAAGAAAGATTCCTGGCAGGGAGAAAAGCAAGTACAAATGTCTTAATGTCTTACAACAGGATGCCGGGGATTTAGCTCAGTAGTTCCGGCACCTGCTTTGCAAGCACAGGGACCTGAGTTCGATCCTCAGCACCAAAACAAAAAACAAAACAAACAAAAAACCCAACCAAGAAAACAAATGTCTCACAACAGGAAAGAGTTTGTCATATCTGAGGAAAGCCAGTATAGAGGGAGTGGGTACTTGATGAGGAGGAAAAAACAGTTGAATATTTATCCAAGAGTCAGATCACATAGAGCAATACTTCTGAACCAAAGATCTTCCTTCTTTGATGAAAAAATGTTAATGGAAGTGTAACAGCTACGTCCAGTAAACTTAGCAATATCTGCAGCCCCTATGGGGAGCACGTGGAGGAAGATTTACAGCATAGTCCTGTGGCTTTATTGTAGGATCTTGCTTCAAGGGCACTTGGTCTTTCCATCAGTCAAGAGGTCCATGAGCCAACCAAAGTCTAAATACCCATTAAAGGGCCAAGACTTTAATTTGTCTTGAATTTGTACAGCTGCACCGATCAAGTGACACTTCAGTGTTTACCTCCATGTATTTCATTACTGAATGCATCGTGGTCTATAGTTTGCCAGCTCAAGAGGTTCTGGTTACCTCGGAGCAAATTGGTGCTGTCGTTACAATAGTTTCTCCTACCTTGTTTCTGGCGATTGGGGGCTGCCACTCGGCTCTGTCACTTTCACTGCCACTAAAAACAGTCACTTCACTGGCACCCCATCCACTGTTGGCCTATCACTGTGGAGCTCTTGAGAGATACCAGCACTCCCCTTCACTGTACACTTCTCATGGCCTGGTGCACAGATGTCCTTTTAGCTTTCTTAAACTGGCCATGAAGTGGGGGACGGAAAGACATGGTGCAGATGACACATGAGCTTCACGTTCTGTTCCTCTTGGACCTGTGGCGTATTCCTCATGCCAAGGTTGTTCTATCCCGTCACTTTACGGAATACTGAGTCCAAAGTTCATCAGTCAACCGCACAGTTAGAACCCCTTCCAGCCATACTAGCACAAACATATTAAATCTGGAATCACTTGTAAATGCAAGAGTGTACTTTGGCTTGATCTCATTTTGACTTGTTTCCTCTCTGGTGGAACCCTCTCCAAATTCATTTCCAAGGTAGTTCCTAGCTTTTTATTTCTCTACATATTAGAAAAATCTGGAAATTTTACCACTACATATGGCATGTTGTCCTGGAGCAAAGTTAGCACTCATTTCCTTGAAATGTGTGGAGATAGGACTCTAGCTATAAATCTAGAGTCATTTTGGGGTGGTCAGAGTGGATCTTGAGAAGGATAGGTGTCTCTTTGCAAGGCAACTTCCCCAGGTAAGGTTGTACAGATAGCTTTTAAGTTTTATTTATTTATTTTTAGTACCAGGGATCAAATGTGGGTCCTTCTGTTTGCGAGGCAGGTGCCAGAACCACTGAGCTAAATCCCTGGCCCAAGGCTGTACAGATCTTTAAGCAAATCTACTAGTTTCATTTGCTCAGATCCAGCTGAGTCAGGCTCTTTCTGCCATCAAGAGAAGCTCAGAGAGACTTGGGCATTGGAAACTTTCAACATAGTGCAGTTTCACCTAGAGGTCTCCATTCCGAGTTCAGGTCCACCCCTTCTCAGTGTCCTAAGTATAACAAAAGAGACATGGTAAACTTTTGAATTCAATTTAAGTTATTTTGCAATTGTGACAACTAAAGTTGGGGTCTGATTTTCAGTAAGTTTAACTCTGTAGCTAGAATCGGTTTAGGGTTGTTGTAGGTACTTTCTAGTTCTCTGTGACTTGGGTTGAAAATTTCAAGCTATGATTTTGTCATTTTCCTTCTGCAATCGCTCCAGGGTCATTAGAAACAGCTGCTGTTTCACAGATTATTACTGTTATGCAG